AACTAGTATAATCCGTTGTAAAAACAAGTATTGTACTTATAGTATTTTGGCACTTGTGTATAAAGTTAAAATCATAAATAATATTCAACGTTAAACTGGAACACAAATAAAAACATTTTAGTTAGGCCTATCTATGGCCTTCAAAAAATTTACGACACTACCTGTTTCGACCTTACAACGTCATCCTTAGGTTGTAACGTTGTAACGTAGAGTCGTCAACTTTTTGAAGGCCATAGATAGGCCTAACTAAAATGTTTTTAATTGTGTACCAGTTTAACGTTGAATATTATTTATGATTTTAAGTATTGTACTTTAGTTAAGACATTCACTGCATCAAACTAAAGGCCAGTTTTGTCCTTTGTTAACATTTTGAGTAGCTATATAAAATAAAATGGATTAAATGGAAAAAAATGTCTGAGCAGCATTATTTGATATTGGAATAAAAAGTGAGCTTGTTCGTAAGATACCGCGAAATTTATTCTTACCATGCTTTCCATACTTTTTTATTATATCTGGAATGTTTACATCGGTAATTTTTATAACAAACCATCTGCTAGCATGCAAGATTTTTTTTCTTTTGAATAAATCAACAGCTGGATCTCCATTACCAATATCACTTCGTCAGCAAGTTAAACCGAGAGGTAAGCTTCTTGTGAAGAAAGTGGATCGTGAAACAGACGAGGGAGAATACACTTGCACAGCGAAAAACAGTGATGGTCAGAGTGCAAGCGGAAAAGTGTCTGTTTCTGTAAATGGTGGGTTGCTTTTTTATGACACTAAAAACTACTGAGATATGTCTACGAACTTTAAAAAAGTGCATTGTATTGTGGAATATATAATTGATTTATCTGAATAAAGTAACCAAAACTTGACAATGCTGACTTTGGAAGCATGGCGTTGTACTGTATTCTAAATTAAGGTTAAGGTTTGAATTATCATTCTAATATAAGCTATGAGGTACTTATATAAGCTATAAGATACTTGTAAAGCCTTCTCTACAATGAAATGTAGCTTGTACAGAAACTTCCTAAACATTGCTTTATTTCTTATTCTGAAGGTATTAGGAAGAATATGACATATGTCGGTGGATATTTTTGACCACAATAAGTGCTTCGTTAGTTACCGCGATATTTCGAAATGTGTGGAAATATTTAAGTAAAGATTCTTCTAGAAATATCGGCTTGCTTGTTACAAGCGTTGATTCGGTTTATTACACGTATAATAAACGTGTTGTTTTCTATATATTTGTTTAAAACTTGTTATGCAAGTGATCCCAAAGATTCATGTACTATTTGTACACCTGTATAGTGGCGCCACATATTGATGAAGATGTCTTTCCTGAGAAAAGAACGGCAACAGAAGGCGAAAGAGTAAAACAGCTGTGTACTATTGTTAAAGGAGATCCGCCAATAAGGATTACGTGGGATAAAGATGGCGTACCGTTGAATCGAGATAGAGGTAGAAGAATCCAAAGTTTGGACGATTCATCCTTGCTGGTATTGAAACACGTAAAGTTTGGAGATTCTGGAAATTACACGTGCCATGCATCCAACTCCGCAGCATCAGACAGTAGAACAACAGAACTGATTGTCAATGGTAACGTCGAGATAAATCTGTTAACTGTGGCGCTCTGTATAGTCTGCTTCATGTGGTCCTCGTTAGAGGTCTTTGTGATGTGTTATTGATAGAGACCTTTAATGAAGCTTCTGCTTTGGTATGATGTGGTCCTCGTTAAAGGTCTTTATGATGTGTTGTTGATAGAGAACTTTAATGAAGACTCTGCTTTGGTATGATGTGGTCCTCGTTAGAGGTCTCTATGATGTGTTATTGGTAGAGACCTTTAATGAAGACTCTGCTTTGGTATGATGTGGTCCTCGTTAAAGGTCTTTATGATGTGTTGTTGATAGAGACATTTAATGATGACTCTGCTTTGGTAAGATTTACACAACACTTGTTTTAGCATGCTTGCGATTTTTCCATCGAGCTGAAGGAAACAAGAGCGTCGAAACGATGATCCTTAGTCAATCCTAACGTGGCACAATCTTCGTTAAACATTAATACTGGCTAAACTATTACCTAAGAACTATAAATTATTTTATAGAAATCAACTAAGTCTAGATAATATCATAAGTAACCTTATAACCTACTTCAAAAACTACTTTTTACGTTACAATCAAACTTGGTGTTGTATTATACTTGCTCTATTAACATAAGATGCACAGTTTAAACGCCATACAATTTTGAACAAATAGAACTTAGTACACAAAATCAGAGAAAAGATATGAAGTTTGATGACTTAGTTTTGTTACAAATATCTCAGTGTAAGGTGATTTGCCCTATTCTTTAGTGCCGCCACGTTGGCTGACGGAACCTGTTGATAAGAGCGTCATTCGTGGAGAAACAGTGGCAATTGACTGTCTTGCTGAAGGATATCCTAAACCACGGATGTCCTGGAAGAGACCTTTAGGTAAAAATGCAAACTTAGGTTTAATGCTATTTTCGTCAAATGTCTCTAAGAAATATTTTGTTTTCGTTGAACACAATATGATTTGAATTGTATTCTGAAAACACGAATTTAGGAATGCAGCTTTAGAATGCTTTTTAAAAGTTTCATATTATTGAACTTACAATTATGACCTTGAATATATTTAACTCAAAGTCATTAATCTTTTATTAGGAGAATTTATCAACACTTGGGAATTGATTTTATGTCTTAAAACTTACTTTAACTTTTGTTAAATGTATTGTCCATGAAACCCTATACTTTGATAACGTATATTTACTCACGGCATGCAATATTCAGTTATGCTCTTTTTAAGGACGCAGTCTTTCTCACTGTTGTTGTGCGAGTTACATGATACGTTTTATAATGTAACCAAATGGTAAACCCTTCATTTGTACAGTGTTAATATGAGTCTTAGCATTGGTTAAATAAGCATATGACCCTTACTGTTTCAGGTGTAACTCACATTCACACATAAAGTCAGTATGAGTGTTGACATTATCTATAGAAGTAGATAAGTATTACAGTTCCAGATCTATTTGTAGCTCACATTCACACATAAAGTCAGTATGAGTGTTCACATTATCTATAGAAGTAGATAAGTATTACAGTTCCAGATCTATTTGTAGCTCACATTCACGCATAAAGTCAGTATGAGTGTTCACATTATCTATAAAAGTAGATAAGTATTACAGTTCCAGATCTATTTCCCAATCTCATACGAAGTAGGTAAAAATGTTCAAATGATAGACCACTAGAGTTTCAGATCTAGCCTAACTTCAATTAAAAATCCAGTATAAATGTTCCAATTGGTCACACAAACAGATGACCACTAGAGTTTCAGATCTAGCCTAACTTCAATTAAAAAGCCAGCATAAATGTTTCAATTAGTCATACAAACGTATGACCACTAGTATTTCAGATCAGGCTCAGCTCCACATACGAAATCAGTACGAAATCATGTTATGAGCACGATTTTACACTCGCATGACCAGCTAACGCTATAAACATACCCCACTAAAATTGTTTCTTAATATTATTTGTCTTAATTTTATTTCGTCAGGATTAAACGTTTCGTCAGACAGAGGTTAATTTTTCCTAAAATCAAAAAAGCGTTATTCAAAATGATATCATTTCAGACTAAATCTGAGACTTGTTGTTTTACGTTTCCTTTAGAGACACATCTTGGAACTTTCCGAGAACTCCACCCAAATTTCCGCACACAAGTGTACAGCAATGGCACATTGACGATCCAGGATGTAGAGGACAACGACGCTGGACACTATATCTGTCAAGCCACAAACGACATTGGAAGTGGACTTACCAAACTAATTGATGTTACCGTACATGGTATAACGCTTGATGTTTTACACATTTTCATATAGTTTGACATTATTTGATAAAAGTAAAATTATCGAAACGACAACCCAAGTTTCGCGATGAGAAAAATCTGTGTTTGCTTGTATAAAAAAAAACAAAAAAAAAAACACTACGGATCAATATATGATTTTATTAAAAGACTAATTATAGGACTAGAACATCAGAGTGAATGTAATTATAGGACTAAAACATCAGAGTGAATGTAATTATAGGACTAAAACATTAGAGTGAATGTAATTATAGGACTAAAACATCAGAGTGAATCTAATTATAGGACTAAAACATCAGAGTGAATCTAATTATAGGACTAGAACATCAAAGTGATTCTAATTATAGGACTAAAACATCAGAGTGAATCTAATTATAAGACAAAACATCAGAGTGAATCTAATTATAGGACTAACACATCAGAGTGAATCTAATTATAGGACTAAAACATCAGAGTGAATCTAATTATTGTCCAGACTTTCATGCATATTTTTATTGCTTCAAATTCGTTAAGAATAGCAGTCAGGAGTAAAAGGCACTTATTGCATAGTGGCATATGATCTTGAGAAATGCATATTACTAAATTGCCAAAACAACCACCTCACGCATATTACTAAATTGCCAAAACAACCACCTCACGCATATTACTAAATTGACAAAACAATTGCCTCACAGATTCCATGTAAAAAATATTTGGTATATAAGATATCAGAATTTAATCAAACATAGATCTACAAATAGAAAAGACGGACTCAACAAAGTCGACCATAATTCAGTATTTGTGGAGGAAGGCCTAAGAGATAGGGCTTCACAAACTTCGCCTTAATTTTTTGTGTAAATAGGAGATTCTGAGAGAAACTTTCACAAACGTAACCTTCATTCACTGAGTGTGGAGGAAAATTTGAGAAAGGGCGTTTATGCTTAACCTTACTTCAATGTGTTTGGAGAAAAGCCTGAGAGCCAAACCTTCACAAACTCGATCTTAATTCCTCCTGTACAGAGGAGTTTCTAAGGGAGACCTTTACAAACTTAACCCTAATTAAAAGTGTTTGTAGGAAGGCCTAAGAGGTAAACCTTTACAAACTCAACCTTAATTTGCCGTGTATGGGGGAAACTCTAAAAGAAACCTCCACAAAGTCAACCTTAGTTTAATGTATATGGGGTAAGGTCTAAGAGAGACCCCCATAAAGTCACCTTGATTCAATTGTATATGGATTATACCTCCACAAACTCAACTTTAATTCATTGTGTGTGGATGAAGGTCTAAAACAGGCTTCACAAACTCAACTTTTCAGTGTATGTTGAGAAATATTTGAGAGAACCCTCAAAAACCAAGAACCTTGTTCCTGAACAAGCTATAAGTAACCACTGGATTTATCCCTCAACAGCAGTTTGACAAAGATGCCTTACTTAGATCATCTTAATACGTTTGCACTCAGTGATAGATCAAAACCAATTATATTATAAAAAGTATGTTTGGTTTAGAGCAAATCTACATTGTGCTATCTAATGTATCCACCGCAGGGAATCGAAGTCTGGATTTGAACGTCGCAAACCCCTAAACATACCGTTGTCCCACCGGTAGACACTAAAAAAAAAAGATTTATGGTAGGAAGCGCATTACAACCTTTTCATAAGTAGGCTACTTTTATGATTCCACAAATAATAAAAGGAGGGTCAGAGGGAAATCGAGCAATATGGCTTCCGTTTCCATGCATTCCCCTGAAATAACTTCATTATGTACATATTATAATGTATTTAAGTTGACTAAATATATAAACAACAACTATTTTCAATACATCTTCACGTGGACGAATTTGTAGGATATATATGTTATATTTTCTATTGTATTAGCCCCTTGGAGACTTAATGGTAAGCTTGAGAGCTTATAACTCCAAAACTCAAGGCTAGTCAGTATTCCAGACTCGAAAGTTAGTATCCTTTTCTGTTTAAGTCTAATCGGTTTTCCCTGACACGAAAGTTAGTATCATTTTCTGTTTAAGTCTAATCGGTTTTCCCTGACACGAAAGTTAGTATCCTTTTATTAATAGGCATTTCTTGACTCTAAGTCTGGCATTAAACAAGATGATTAATAAACACTTTTCTGCCTCGAAGTCTAACATTAAACGATGTAACTAATAAATGTTTTTATGCCTCCATGTTTGACATTAAACAAGCTGATTAATAAATACTTTTCTGCCTCAAAGTCTAGCATTAAACAGTGTAACTAATAAATGCTTTTTATGCCTCCATGTTTGACATTAAACAAGCTGATTAATAAACGTTTTTATGCCTCCATATTTAACATTAAACAGTGTAACTAATAAACGATTTTATGCTTCATGTTTAGCACTAAATAAACTGATTAATAAGTCTAACGTTAAATAATCTAAATAATGTACCTTTTTTCTGTTTCCAAGTCCAGTGGGTGTTTATCTCTCTGCCACTTTACAACCACAGGCTGATCCCCTTGAGCTTCACATTTTAAAACTGTCTTATCTCCCTTCGCAACGGTCTGGCTAGTAAAGGTACTTTCAAAACGTGGTGGTGCTGAAGATGGCGAGAAAGATATAGAAACAAATTTAATAAACAATTCTAAAACTTTTCACAAACTATATGTAATCATAGGATCCAAACTTTCATGTCTGAAATACTGAATAGACTTCAACAGAAAAGGATACTAACTTTCGTGTCAGGGAAACCGATTAGACTTAAATAGAAAAGGATACTAACTTTCGTGTCAGGGAAAACCGATTAGACTTAAACAGCCACATTGGTTAATGCCAGACTTAGAGTCAAGAAATG